TGCACTCCAGTCTGGGCGACAGAGTGAGACTCCAACTCAAAAAAAAAAAAAAGAACACAAAATATTTGTCTTTCTTTGCTTGGCTTATTAACATAATGACCTCCGGTTGCATCCATGTTGCTGCAAATGACAGGATTTCGTTCTTTTTTATGGCTGAATAGTATTCCATTGTGTGTATAAACCACTTTTTTTTCCCAATCCATTTATCTGTTGATTGATTCCACTTCTGGACTATTGCGACTAGTGCTGCAACAAACATGGGAGTGCAGACATATGTTTGATATATCAATTTACTTTCTTTTTGATATAACCAGCAGTGGGAATATGGGAATCATATGATAACTCTATTTTTAATCTTTTGGGAGAAATCCATACTGTTTCCATAGTGGCTGCACTAATTTACATTCTCTCTTATAGTGTACTGCAGCTGCTACATGCGACATCGTTGCCAACATCTGTTATTCTTTATTAAAACCATTTAAACTGGGACGAGATAATAGCTAACTGTGGTTCTGATTTGCATTTCTCTAATGATTAACGATATTGACCATTTCTTCATATACCTGGGGCCATTTGTATGTCTTTTGAGAAATGTTTTTGGATTTTCTGCCCACTTTTTAAGTGGATTATTTGGTTTTCTTCTATTAAGTTGTCCGAGTTCCTTATATATTCCAGTTATTGGTCTCCTGTCAGGTGGATCATTTGCAAATATTTCCTCCCATGCTGTGGTTTTACCCTTCACTGTGTTGTTTCCTTTTGCTGTGGAAACGATTTAGCTTGATGTCATCCCATCTGCCTGCTTTTGTTTTTGTTGCCTGTGCTTTTGAGATTGTACCTGAAAAAATCTCAGCCCAGATCAGGATCCTGGAGCGTCTGTCCCACGTTTTCTCCTAGTAGTTTCATAGTTTCAAGTCTTAGACTGAAGTCTTCCCCCCCCCCCCCCATATCTATTTATGCTTTCACAGGAGGGCCAAAGGCTTTCATTCTAGGAACATTCTTTTTTTTTTTTTTTTTTTAATAGTTTAATGTATTTTAATAGCAAACTTACAGGAACAGCACAGAAGACAGACAACATTAAAAACATGTACTAGCATGGTGGATAACTCAGAAAAGTATAGTGAAAGGATGGAATCTACCGTATGATAAAAATGCTACAAACGCCATTTAGTTGCCATCAATAAGAAATTTACTTGTTTTTAAAAAGTCCAAATGCTGGCATTGTCCAGAAAAATTTAACAGGTTTATTTATAATTGTTATAAAGTCGAACCGCTGAAACTTGTTCACTGAAACATTTTGACTTGCATGAATGCTTTACATCCCCGCTTTTATATTAAAAATTCACACACAAATGAAAATGGAAAAACTGCCAAGACCTGATTGCCGTCCCCTATTTTTCCACTTGCAATCATATACTTAGGTACCCTTTGACCCCGTTTAAAAAATATATATAGATCTAACGTTCAGAACTATCAATAACAGGAAGAAGAGAATTTTTTTTTTGAGAATGAAATGTTTCCCATCATAGTGGATTTAAGCACGCTCTCCACGTATGCAGCATGCTGGCTGGATGTCTTTTGGCATAATTGTTACACGTTTGGCATGGATAGCACACAGGTTGGTGTCTTCAAAAAGGCCAACCAGATAGGCCTCACTTGTCTCCTGCAAAGCACCAATAGCTGCGCTCTGGAAGCGCAGATTTTTTTTGAAGTCCTGAGCAATTTCTCGCACCAGACACTGGAAAGGAAGTTTGCGAATCAGAAGTTCAGTGGACTTCTGATAACGTCTCATTTCACAGAGTACCACAGTACCAGGCCTGTAACGATGAGGTTTCTTCACCCCTCCAGTAGAGGGCGCACTCGTGCGAGCGGCTTTCGTAACCAGTTGCTTCCTGGGTGCACCGGTGGTCACAGGCGGTCTGCTTTGTACGAGCCATGGATAGAGACCTCCCTACTTACCCCTCCTTCTCCTTTGGCTGGAGCTCTGCGAGCTAGAGGCGGCGCTGGCGTTGGAGAGCGACGGCAGCACCAGCACGGCAGCAGCTCTAGGAACATTCTTAATACCATCATGTTCAGTTTAGGACACAGTTGTGTTGTCCAGATGTATTAAATTAAACACTTTTTCCCTCTTTATTTTATTATTGAGATGTCGGGTACAAGTCAGGATTAGGTACATGAGTAGTCTACGTGTAGGTGAAGTTTGGGCCATCAACTGGTCCTCACTTCCCTTGGGTTAGGATCAGGTACCCTTTGTGATGACACATGCCCTACCCTCCGTCCTTGCCCAGATTTAAGTCTTGAATCCATTTTTATTTGATTTTTGCATATGGTGATAGAGGTCTAATTTCATTCTTCTGCTTGTGCTTATCCATTTACTGAAGAGACTGTCCTTTCCCTCAGATTTTATTTTTAAAAGGTTTGTTGACTATTGATACTTTGCCTCTGTCAAGACTCCAGATGGTGTTACACTGAACAACATATGCCCGTTCCCGTCCGGTGCCATCCCCACTCCCTACAGGTCACAATGTTGTTAGTTTCTTGTGCATCTTCCCTGTATTTCTATATGAAAACACAAGCAAATACAATTATAGGTGACTATTTCGCCCCCTTTCTCTCATAAGCTTACAATCCAATAGTGGAAAAATGGTGCTGGCAGTGTTAGCAACAGCCACCCATAGTCTTCTGATCCTGGTTCCAAAACAGAACTCCCTCTGCCCCAGAATTAACCTAATCATAACAGCAAAGAAACTGCTGCTGAGTTATTTATTATTTCTCCATGGATCACTCTTGCATTTGGAATCTCATCTTACTAAGTATACACTCTAAAATAAATCATAAATCCTTCTTAACAAATATCCTTGTATTTCATTGATAGCATTTATCATCCTAACATTTTCTTGCCTTTGGTTTCCTTCTTGTCTATCTCCCCCAGTCCCTGTCCTGGGCACTGCTGAATCCCCAGCACCTATTACAGTCCCTGGCACACAGCAGGTACTCCATAACTACTTGCTGACTAAGTGTTTGAAGGAGACCAGAGCATAAGCTGACAAGGTCCTTGTGTTCTTGGCTTGTGTTCAAGGAACCAAGCCTATACTCCCTCATCTCAGAGCAGGTGTGATGTGGGGAGCAGACAGGCACTGCCACTGTAGCAGGCCTTGAGTATCCCAGGCTTGTAGGCAACGGTCTCGCCTGGAAGCTCTGCATTCTAGCCAAAGGCAGGTGAGGGATGCAGCCTGCTACGTAAAACGTCGCGGGCCTTGAGTACCCCAAGCTCGTAGGCAAGGTCTCGCTTGGAAGCTGTGCATCCTAGCCAGAGGCAGGCTGTGAGGAATGCAGCCTGCTACATGAAACAGTGTCTTGAATGCCCACACATACGGGTACACATAGTACAGATAAAGTCTTAGCTACAATAAAGCCCTAGGTACCAGAAGATAAATGTAAAACAACTCGCCTTCTAGTAACAACATAATTCCACTGTGGTTTGCTCATCTCCCCTAGCCTTGATTTGTTACTTTATAATAAAACAAAGCAACATGATGTCAATCACACCTGGCCTGGATGCCTGGCCCAGAAGCTGATACTGCTTGTTTTTACAATAATCCCTTGTACGGTTTTGCCCTAGTTTTCAAAGCCCTATATAAGAAGCATGCTAAATAATAAACGGGCTCTCACCTATTGAGGAAA